GCGTTGACATCGGGGTTTTGTCCCGGCTGAACAACAACCTGAATGTCGGGTCCCTTCGCTTTCTCTTGCGCTGCGAACGCACGTGCATTGAGTTTTATTGTGTGCGGACGCGGACCATCGTGCTGGTACAGCAGTGTCTGGCCGGCTTCTGTCCAGTTCTAGGCACTTCTTCATGCCATGTGGTCTTCCAAACTAATACTTACTTCCATTTTCCCAGCCCCGAATGTTCCACATGGTTGACACGTGCCAGCACCACAGGTCGTGGGAGGGGGGGAGGGGGGGGGGGGGTAGATCACCAACATGTTTCCCTAAAATACCTATAGAAAGATCATAAAATCAAAATTTCTTAGTACTGGTGGTGTTCTGTGCACTGAGCAATGACAGAGGGATACTGGTTTACGTTGCAAGAATAACAGAGGGATACGTTTACATAACCGACGAGGAGACAACAGTCGTAAAATAGCAATGAAAAATATCAATTGTGCACTCATAGCCATGTATAAACAATTAAAATGAAACAATTCCAGAACGTTTTCGTGTGACCGTCATCAGTGGAACATCGTCACATAGTAAGAATCACTAAAACAACCATGGTCACACGAAAACGTTCTGGAATTGTTTCATTTTAATTGTTTATACATGGCTATGGATACGTTTACGTTTGAGAATAATGCCCCGATTTCAAACAAGAATCCCCGGCTTATCTCGTACTAGTAGAGACGCTTTGCTGAGCAAAACTTTGCATGGATTACCGCGTCTGAGCTTGCAAATATTTCTGCGAACGTTTGCGCGAAATTTGTATTTTGCATGATTTTCGTTCCAGGAAAGTACGCGTGTACTCGCGCTTGTTTGAGAAGTCGTCTTCATCCGATTATTTATTTTTGCAAGTGGCAGCACCCTGCGACGAGAACTCTTTGACTACGTTGTCCATGACCGGACACCCACAGACAAATGGGTTTGCCTGTGCTGTAATCCGGCGCATCAACACCTGAAAATCAAGAAAACAGGGATCATTGATATAACCGACTCTGAAAAGACGACCAGGGTAGGAGATCGGACATGGTTCCGGAGATTAAGCAACACGGGCTGCCATATGGGAAAGCTAGCACTGGAGGACCAAGCCAAGAGTGTATCTACTGGATTGTGAAAGATGAAGCACCAAACATTGCATGAGCGTGGTTCACCAATAGTCACTGGTCCGTGATCAGCGAAAATTACTGCGAAAATTTGTTTCGTATTTCCTTCAACTTTCACGTTCACAGCTGCGAACGTTCGTGCGAAGTTGCTTCTCGCGACGTCAATCGAAAATTTACGCGAACTTTTGCTCAGCAAAACCTCTCTAGTGGTTGTTGTAAAACTCTACAATTAATAACAAAGTCATGTTCCACTGATAGCGGATTTTCCACAGTGGTGTTGATGACCATCTTGACCTAGTGAGATCTTTTGGAGGTCATTGAATGATGGCTGGTAGCCTTGGGCTCAGTATTTCCTTGGAAATGTTCAAATTTATGACTGCCACCAAAGTACCTTGCAATCTTCGCTCGCCAACAACTACTGTACTAAGTCTCAGTTGAACTTTTTGTCTGGAAAGTGGAATACTGCACTATAGCTGCGGCATAGCAATGAGAAAAACTGACTCCGACTGAAGCAATGTTTGCGATTTCGAAGTAATTGAAGTGTGGAAAATGAAAGCCTGAGCAGTCACAGAAAGCAATTCAAGTATGGAAGGGGACGGTGTGGTTTCCGTCCAGCACTGCACTATTTGGTGCATAGATGCGCGTGCGAACTGAAGTGTATGGCGATACAGGATGTGCACATGCATGACGTGTGCATGCATGTGCTGCACGGCATGCATGCCGGGTGTGCCTGCTTGCACAACTCACATGCTTTCACCGTCACAGCTTCTACAGTGTGCGCTCGATTCACTCGATTTTTACGTCCACCACCGGGAAATCGCTGTGGGCTGGCTTCTGTGATAATGTTCCTTCTACTGCGATAAAGTGCGAGGCTAAATGTTCTAGAATCCTCTTCTGTTAGACTAATCCGAGGCTGCTGAACACGAAAATTTGGTGTACCTGCCGGGGTCGAGTTTGCCTCTGGTCGAGATCAGTACTTCTCTATGCCTCTGTGCAAACCGCGACTCCACCTTTTTTGTTCAAGCATGGCATGTGTGGCATCAATGGAAAGGCAATGACCTCAGCTACCTAAAACAGCATCGACAAGGGAGTATTGGCCACGGGATCAGATAGAAGCGGGGTCAAAGTCAGGCCAAAGGGATCTCACGCGAAGTGTACGGACTGTACAGCTTTCGATCCCCTGGGATCGAAACTTTTCAAAATTTCAATCAATCGGAACTCAGTCATTACTGGGTTATTTCCAAAAACTAACATAGTATGTACGTCGAAGAGAAAACTCTCAGCTGTCCATTAAACATCACCAAAGTTGAACACATTGCAGTAAAAGTATAGCAACAACATACCTGTGAGGGACAAAATGGAGAGCATTTCCTTGCTCTTGTCCGCATACCCAAGTTCCTCAATGACAACACAAAGATCACGATACGTGTTTAGGCCACCAGCTTTGAGCAACTGGATGAGCTTCTCATTATGATCAGATGGTCCATCCCGGGACAGAATTCTCTTCAGTCCCTCTATTGATGCGCTGTCAGTTATGAGATGTTTCTTGATCACCATCCGTCGCAGTCGATCTGCGTCAACTGTGTTCAACCATGGTTGAATGTCACACACAAACCTTTCCAGGTCAAACGGATTGTCTGTTGCAAAAGCAGCAAAATACAGAAGGCGCAGATGACACATGAACACACAACTGCACACAACTGCATGTCAAGAGACAAATAGAAATGGAATTGCACAACACCGATAATACATGGAAAGGAATTTGAGTGGACACACCCATTCCAATAGCGCTTCACATCAGAACAAGTTCCGCTATTTTACAACGTTTCGCCACTTGGCCATCGTCAGGTGATAAGAACAATGGACACACACACACACACACACACACACACACGCACACACACACACACACACACACACACACACTCACGTGCGCGCACACACACACACATGCACACACACACACACACACATTCCCAGAACCGCACAGCGGAGCGCTTCAGCGATTGTTGCAATGGACAGCTGGGAGTTTTCTTTGCGACCTACGTATCTTAGTGTTTGGAAATAACCCAGAAATGACTGAGTTACGATCAATTGAAATCTTGAAAAGTTTCGATCCCAGGGGATCGAAAGTTGTAGAGTCCGTACACAAAGGGTTAAAATGTACACTCGAGTTGTGACTGCAGTTTTCACCTGACCCAGGCTGGAACTGAACTCCCTAGCAATAATCTAGTGACCCATGACAGTACTTCACGTCGGTGGCACCTGCATTTCTTGTAGTTCTACACAGGCCAAAGAGCTTTCACGTACAGAATCGTCATGTAGATCTGGTTATATCCTCAGGACTGTCCATCTAACTGAACCCACTGCATTCCCAGGGTCAGCTCTCAATACGATTGATGCGAATGCATAAACGAATTGATCTCTGTAAGCACTTCCCACTGCAAACAAGTAAGTACTGGCAGTGCTGCTCAATGAAATCCAGTCGTCGTGTCACTCAAGTTTGTGCCTTGCACCATTTTTCAGCCCAATGTTCGCAGGTCTAGGGCTGCGCAACGCCCACCGTGTACTTGAGTGATGCTGTGACTGGATTTCATTCCAGCGTGTACTTGAGTGATGCTGTGACTGGATTTCATTCCAGCGTGTACTTGAGTGATGCTGTGACTGGATTTCATTCCAGCGTGTATTTGAGTGATGCTATGACTGGATTTCATTCCAGTGTGTACTTGAGTGATGCTGTGACTGGATTTCATTCCAGCGCGTACTTGAGTGATGCTGTGACTGGATTTCATTGAGCAGAACTGTGCATGCAAATGTACTGTCGTGGACATGGAAATCCGGTCGATTGACCGGGGCCGGCGCCCTCAGCGCGTACAGAACGCTGCGTGCAGGGCACATGATTGTTGATCCTTTACAACTAGCGCGCTGCAGCGCTTAAAATGCATGTGTGTACCGCTTATCCACGCCTGCATGGCCAGCACCCTGGGGCCGCTAGACGTGCGACCGGATTTCCATGTCCACGACAGTAGTTAAATGCATGTTCAACGAGTTCCCCCCCCCCCCCCTACCACACACACACACACACACACACACACACACACCTTCCTACGCCACTAGCACTGTAGTCAATGTAAACACTTACCGGAGGACGAGTCAAGTGGCATTGCGCCGGCAGCAAAACCCCGAGTCACAACCAACCACTCCGTCACGGCCTCACTCTGTCCACGCCTGCTGGCATGAATCGTTCTGTCCTCAGTGAACAATGGAGAACACCGCACACAACTACACGACCCACACAAATCACCAGCACTGCAGCAACCGTCCAACAGAGAAAATGCGCCAAGAAAAACTATGATGATTGGGTAGACCTACCGCGTCACGCGAACCGCTACCGGTAGATGTAGAGTCTACATAGCGGGGAGTCGTGAAAACCAGGACCCCCTGGTATAACCATAACCATGATAACTCAACCCTTTCAAGACTCGGAGTCGTTGCTAGTACTAGTAGACTCTACTGGTATGACTATGACTGTACA